GTCCGCGATCAAGACCTTTTCAAATTCGCCCAATATGTCAAAGCTTGGTTCAAACCAGGCCCCATACGCAATGTGAAAGAAATCGAATTCCAAGTATCAAACTTGCTCGAAGCTCTCAAAGACGCCCGCCGGACAGTCGGACAAAAACCAGTGAGAATAGCCGGAAGATCGGGGCCATGGTGGAACGAGGAATGCAAGTTAAAGCAGCTCGAGTTCAGGGAATTCAGAAAAGACCCAAAACAAGCAGCCCATGCCCGGAAAAGATTTAGAGCAACGGTCAAAGCGTCTAAAAGGGATCACTGGAGGAAGCAGGTCGAAATCACCACCACGGATACCCATGTATTTAGGATAATATAATGGGCCAAACCCAAGTCATATCAAGAACCTCCTCCCTTAAAGGTTTCGGAGGACAAATGTATATCGAACCCACTCGAGCGGGCGGAAACTTTGCGTGATATCCTGATGACCAGATTCAATGCAGCCCACGATCTCTCCACATGGGAGACAGGACAATCCGAGCCTATCCCATAGAACACAACATTATCGACAAAGGATGTAAAATCGAGCACCATCGGGGTAGGCAATAAGTCTCCAGGGACGGACAAAATCACGGTCAGGCTACTTTCGGCGTGCTGGGAGCAAATTGGAAATCTTGTGAAGAACCTTTTCCAAGCCTGCTTCCGGCTCGGATATTTCCCTACCATGTTTAGAGTTGCGGAGGTCATTCTTCTCCCAAAGCCTAGACGGGACCTAGCAACAGCTAAGAGGTGGCGACCAATCTCTCTTCTGTCTTAACTCGGAAAAGGTTTGAAACGAATTGTGGCCAAGAGAATGGCCTGGATAGCAATAGAGCACCGGGTCGTTTCTCAACAGCTATTTGGCGCACTTCCTGGACGCCCAGCAGTCGACCTAGTCTTCTGTATCATACACGATGCAGAGGCTGCAATTCGAAGCAACAAGGTAACAGCCATGGTTACTCTGGATTTACAAGAAGCGTTTTATACAGTTCTGTACAGACGGCTGATCTATCGGATGCGGAATCAGAGATGGCCAAGGATACTTTGCCTGTGGATAGAGTCTTTTCTAACCCAACGAAGGATAAGGGTGCGGTACCGTGATGGAACGACGCGGGATAAAGTCACCGAGTATGGAGTCCCACAAGGGTCGCTACTATCACCTCTATTGTTCTTATTATATATTGCAATACTACTGCAAGACGAGAATAAGAATATAAAGTTCGGGTACGCTGACGATATTGCGATACTTAGCATAGGAAATACCGCGTCTAAAGCAGTGGCCGAAGCCCAGAAAGAAGTCGACAAACTAGTTCAATAAGCGAGTGAAAACAGGATAGACTTTGACCCGACAAAGTCTGAACTACTGGTAATCAGGGGAGGGCCAAAGAAAAAGCTAGATACCTCAGGCCTATTCGTTCAGATCCAAGGTCACAGCGTAACCACATCCCCGTACGTGAGATGGCTGGAAGTATTTACAAGACTGGCACGACAAGCTAGATCAGTTGAGATCCGATGGATACTAGCCCAAGCTGGGATCATAGGGAATGAAGATGCAGACAGACTGGCTAAGGAAGCCCTCAGGAACCTACCGGATGAAACGGACACATCCTCCTCAGAAATGAGGGACAGATCTAAATACACTTTCGCAGCCCTCACTTGATTTGTCAGGCAGAGATGTGAGGAAGCAGTGGAATCCTGGCGGCTAGATCACAGACCGAACCGCTACGAAGAATTGGATCTTCAGATGAAACGAAAACGTCCATCAGAGCTAGCACTTCCGCGGTGGGCACATCACAGCCTTATCGCAGCAAGGACGGGGTAGGGTAATTTCAGAAAATACTATGAAAGATTTGGCCACGAATTTGAAAACTGCAAATGCGTGTGCAGAAGAGAGAAACTTCCTTGGCATTTTGTCGAATGCCGGATTGCTTTACAGCAATGGAGAAACTTGAAGCACGAACCACCACCGAGAGGACGGGAGATGCTGGCAGAAAATGGTTGGGAAAGATTCCTTCAGCTCTTAACAGTTACCAAGTGTAGCGAGAGGCAAATACCACACCGAGAGGATTAAGTCCTGCCGAAATAGAAGTTTTTCAGGACAAAATGTTGTGAGGAAGGAGGGAAAGGCGCAGGGCGCTTAATTTCCTTGGAATTAATTTCATTATTTATGTTTTACGTATAGATTTGACAAGCAAACTATGTACTTAGGTTTTAGTGTGCCCCTAGGGGGTATAGACCCGTATCACACCTATTGGGTGTAGGGCGTAAGTCTGATATGACATGAATCCAAAACAGATTCCAGGCAAGGAAATAGGACCCATGCTGGTTGAGCGTAGACTCCTTGAGGAGCTAACCTCAAGATCTTCTACCGGGGTCGTCCAACATCAAGCGTATAGACTTTACCGATGGTTACGAGGTATAACAGGACCTTTCCCCTATGATTAGTTATTTTCTCTTGTATGTAGAAAATAGACAGTATTCGGACTCCATACCCTTGTTTCATCGTGTTGTCGTAGCCTTTCACAAGAATCCATTATCCTCCAGTAAAAAATACTGCGGTCTACAGCCCGCAAACGAAGATTGGTCCCTGGCACCCCCAGCTCTTCGAGCGGCTCAGGAGCCGAAAGAGACAATAAGACGCTTAGGTCTTGGATCGGGACTAAGAAATCGCTTGTTCAGACAACCAGAACGACATATGACACGCTTGCGAACAATCGTGTGTCAAGTTACGACAGCCAAAGGCCCTGGAAGGCTATACTTTCCATGTGGCACCTCAGCATCGACTCCATGTAGTCGAGAAAATGGAGCTAGGTCTGGAAGCATCAAGCGATAGTTAGCTACCCTTCCAGCTGAAAAAGTCTGCGCTTTCTCTGATAGATCTTCATCGAGTCCCGGAAAACCAGCCTGGGAGTATGTAGTATACCCAGGAGGCAAGCTAGCTGGGATTGGTTCCCGTTCACTTCCCGGAGCAGAGGTATCCGACGCGGAAGTTGTAGGCGCCATGAAAGATTTGAAGGCCGCGCTAACGGTGGAAGGAAACCTGCCGATTCGCATTCGTCTGAAAAATCAAGCGGCCACCCGGGCACTCGACCGAGGAAGATGTAACTCCTCGTAGGCAGTGGTGAACAATTTTTCGTCGCTGAGACACAACAAGCGTGTGGAAATACGCTGGATACCTGGTCATTTTGGGATCAAAGGCAGTGAAGATGCCGATAAACTGGCCAAATCGTCCTTGGTAGCTCTCAATGACGAATCACTTATCTTAGCTAGACCCAGTGGAGAAGATCAAAATCCACACTTTTCTGCATTAGAGAGGTGGGTTAAACAGTGCGGCCAAGAGCTCGTGGAAGAGTGATGGCAGAAGTATCGGCCGAAATAACACAAAGATCTGGACCTCTTTATGCGCGGCAAACAGCCACCGGAACTGGCCCTACCAAGATGGGCGTATCGCCGTCTGGTTGCGGCAAGCACAGGTCACGGGGACTACGGCGACTACCATCGACGTTTCAAACCCGAATATGAGGATCTGAAATGCGATCGCGGCCGAGAGAAGAGGCCTTGGCATTTTTCAGAGTGCCGACATGCTTTGCAACGTTGGAGAAGCTGCGAGAAAATGTCCCCACCTGGTGCCAGAGAAATGTTAGGGGAGAAAGGACGGCAGAAGTTCATCCAATTCTTAACCACAAGCAGATGTTACAGTCTACCGAAGAACAAACAAGGTAGGAGGAGCCCATGCTGAGATTGTTTCTGACTCTAGAGGAGCTGTGTTGGGAAGATAGAGATGCGGCGCAGGGCACCGTAACTTAGATATTTACTGTACCTTTTTCATTTATTTTGTCGCTTCTGGCTTTATTGCCGGTCTTGTAGGTAGCAATGAGCTCTCAGAGCTCATCCACCCGTGTCACGTCTAAAAAGATGTGTGGTTCTTCCGGTCACGTAAATGATTTAAATTTCAAATTCAAGTCCATGGTATCCAGAGATCGACATCTTGAACAACCGCCACCTGTGCAGTAGCAACCCTATCCTCATTAGCTGCAATATTATGGAGATTGAAACTGTTACGCCAACAGTCCCGCAGTCAATAATTTCTTTACACATGTAGCACTTTTTGGCGTTAAAAGTGCTGGGAATGGCTAAGGTACGTTCTGGAAGTTGATCTACGCCGTCTTTACTAGTCATACGCCAGTATTAGACTTAGAGCTACAGCTTGCGACCTCATAGTAAGTAAATATTTGAACGAATGCGCTCTAAAAATTTGAGAGTAAGGAGTCATTGACAAAACTGTTATTGTTGTCCTATACACTTACATCTTGATAAACTTACAAACTTCGACCAACATGAGTACTCTGACTGAGAAAATAAACTCAAAAGTCTTTAAATGCATGATTCATCAGGTAGCCAGTGTGGTTTGAAGTCAAACAGAGGTTTTGTCGAAAATAAATTATCTCTTGATTCAAAATTTGCGTTCCATTCTATGTAGAAAACTCGTCTCAAAGTAATTCTTACCTATCACTAAGATGTTGACTCAGGTAAAATTTGGCAAAATAATATGCCGATAATAAATACGAAAGTGTATTAACGTGGAAGTTATTATGAATCTTTGTCTACATGAATTTTATTCTAATGCATCCATGTTTTTGATTTCGAAACCTGCCCCGATCCTTATTAATTTCTGTAACTGCTCGAATTTATGGCTCGTTAGTATAAGTTCCGGTGAATATCATTACTCAGGCGTGTCTTAGTGTAGTCATGTGTTAAATGGAATGATTATTACACGATGTATATGATTAGTCAATACGCCTTTCATACTATAAAGAAATTTATCTGATCCTCTTAACTATCTCCCTAGATTGATTATAGTAATACATGTTTAAAGACCTCTGTGGGCTATAAATTCATAAAATTCGACTCGTCCCGTTGGACTCCAATAGTTTCTGTAATCTATCTCTCCAGAAAATTTCATCAATCATCAGATAAAATATATCAATCTTCGTTTTCCTCTTCAATACGAGCCGGCTTATTTCTTTCGTTTCGACGCTTAGGACGTCGATGTCGCGAACTACTTATGTTACTTGCACTATCATCCGGTGCTAACTCGCTAAACTCGTCACAATGGTCCCATTCGCACTCACTTAAGATATTACTACGTTCACTCCAGCCACGCCTTTCGTATCCTGGGCTGAGGTCTGATCCGGAAAAATCATCCTGGTTGGGATTTATATTGGCGGGCTGCGCCAGGCGGCGCGATCGGAGTGATATGGTGAGACCAGCTCCGCGCTCCCGTAGACCTCGACGTACGTGCTCAGCTTTTCGGTGGAGATTCTCGAATGCTTCTTCAAGTGCTTCCATCCCCAAGTAGATCTCCCGCTCTACTTCGGCTACGACTTCGATCTCAGTCTCCTCATCATTTAACACTGGTCGGCGAGCTCTTACTGTCGTTGGCGAACCTATGGATGAGTTCCCCCTTGAGCCCGTTAACGATGGGGTCTGATTTCTTGACATCAGCCCGGGTGAAGGGGACATTGAAGAGCCTCGGTACGAAGGGGGCAAGGATGTTTGAGCGTCAGAATCTGCGCCAGACCAGAGGAAGCCGTCAAACCTGCCTGATGTAAGTATTTCCCATTCGTGCGAACTTATACCAGCCATAGTTGCTAGGAGTGGATGTAATTTTGGATTTTTGAGAAGAAATATTGCTGCCTCTGGATCTCGTGGTGGAGCGGGAAGTCGGTATAGCCTTTGTAGCGACTGAACAGTTTTCATGATTAATTCTGATCGCGATTTACGTGACTGACTCGATACACGCATCGTAGTCTGTAATGTTGTGGAGCCAGTAATCAAAGCATTAAATATAGGTCGCTCATGGCTGTCTAGATGGGTAAGAATAGCAAATGAAAGCGTCTCATCATCAACCTCCAGTGGTGGCGTGGAGGTAGTTGTCGAACAGCTTGAAAGCCATCTGTCGACGGCAAGTTTGGTTTTTTTCGACTGCAATAGGTACTGTTCCCGTAATTCTTCGGCGACATCGGGGTCAATTTTTACTGGCGATCCCGGTCTCGCAGGATATTGTTGCGATAGATCCAGGCAGTCTACAGGTTTGACACCGAGCAAAGCAAGATTAAAAGCTGGCCATGAGGGCAACTCCTTGCGACCTGCACTCCACTCTAGAACTTCTCCCCAGCCCAGACCCTTGGGCTTTTCAGCTGGAGCTAGGTCTGGATGTTGACACATGATACATTTGCATCCCTCAGTCGAAAGATCTCTGCCCATGATGACCTCCAACCTGTCAAGCAATCTTCGAGCTACTGATCGATAGCCAGTCGCTACAGCTAGTGATCCGTTTTTACTTAGTACTGTCTCATATTGTTCTAAAAGACTAAAACATGAGCTGAAAATTCGGTCAACTGATATCGGCACTAATGGTGGTTGCCTTGTACTTTGTTGCGACGTACTTTTGGACACAGGTGCAATAAGCGATTTTGGAACTGATCGCGCTAGGCCCCCATTCCGCATAAGGTAATCAACGCATGGAGCTTTTACCGCCAGATCAGATGGAAGAAATGATGGTATACTTTGGGATGAATCGATTTTACTTGCTGCTGTTGGGGCGTCATGCTGGATGAACTGAGATGAAACAGATTTTGTAGATGGTACAGTGAAGTTATGGGATGGGTTTGATGACTGGTGCGTACTAACAGAGGAATTTTCTTCCGCGGGTGATTCTTTTATTTTTTCTTCAACGGAGTGCGATCCCAGAGATGCGGCCGATGTGTTGCTTAAATTTTCTGCTGCTGCTGCTGGTTTTGACTCCCGCGATTTAACATCTTTATCATTTTCGCTGACTGGCACTGATTGCTTGACGCAAGAGCTGTTATCTGAGACTTTGGAAGAGGCTGACAGTCTTGAATTTGCATCTCGCTTTGAGGTTTGAGAGGTGAGAGATATTTTTGATGCACTTTTTTCCGCTCTACCTGAATCATTTTGGGCCTGACTTTGATGATCCACGTCTTTATTTTCCTCGGAAACATCTGTTTCGGGGGGGCTTGGAGGCATTTCATTTTTACTGTTATTTTTTACGTGACCTTCCAACTTGGACTTTGATTTTTCACCCGAGCCCAAGTCGGTGGGGTTTGGGGTTATCGGAGGTTTAACAGCAGGCAATTCTGCTTCGTCACCGGTAGCACGAACCGACTGTCTACTATAGGCTCGATTGAACGTTGGATATGGTAGACTGCAACGGGAATGTGCACGCGACAGCTCTGGAACTATATCTTCAATGGTTGATAACGGCTCCGAACTTTCTAGAATTTTTCTATCGCTCTCTCCACTAACCTTTCTTCTTCTCGTTTTAACGGATGCAGCAGTATCAGAATTAGTTGTCTTTGTTTTGGAGCTCCTTGATTTGTGTAATTTTTCGGGGGTCTTCTCACGACGAACATGATTTCGCTTTTCGCTCAATCTCTCGTCATATTCCCCGTCACGGTCTTTGTGGGACATTGTTATTCTTTTCCAGTGCTACTAGCGAGCGTGTTTGTATGATATCCAACCAAGTTCCTGCGTCCTACGTTCGATAAATGAGAAGCTCTAAGACTTAAGCGATTAGTGAGTTTTCAGTTTTGTAGAATACTTGAGCCGGCGGTTGTGGAGTAACTGAGGATAGATCAAAGGTCAGTGGATGCGCTGGACCCTGTTTGTAGTGATGAGCTGTTCAAAGGTGATTGGTAAAGAGGGAAAAGGTTCACCTTGGCGTTGAGGGGAAAACAGCCGAAGCGTTCCTGCAGGCGCATTTCTGATTTTTCCGATCAAACAAATGCTGGGTGGCTGGTCTTAGAATTCATGAAGGCTTTGGCCTAAATGTAGCTTCGCAGCTCACGTTTTGAGTGTGGGTAGATTGCTTGTGGAGTACAGGGCTCGTTGACATGAGCAGGATGCGGAGAGCGTATGAGCCGTTACTTTTAATAATTTGTGGCTGGCGTCCTTATCTTGTTCTGTCAGCAGAGCAAGGAATCTCGCTAGCTACCCGCACGTGTTGCATACGCAGGGACGCTTGAAGACCATATTTGATTGTACGAACTCGACCAAAACGCGATTGAAATCAAGTAGACTACTTTCAGTGACCTTGATCAGTTTGTATCGATGGAGATCCAAATTTACACCGTTGGATACCTCCACGGAAGTGAATCGGTCCGCGTCGATCAACAGAAACAACTATTCGATCTTAGTTTACAAATCCCTGTTTAGCAGCTATCATCAATGGGGCTAGTCCTTTGACAAAAATATGTCAACTAAATCGACACTCTACGACATTAACCGGGACAAGATAGAAAATAAACGTCACAATGCACGAGATTTCCGTTGCAAGCTTTCGGTAAGCAGCCTAAGATTATTACATGTTTAAAACGGAACTCTTTTTATTCATAACTACTGCTATCAAAATAGGCCTCTCTACAAGGTGGTCCTAGAGAGGATCAAAGGGGTACCCACTGCTATAGACAAGCAAGAAGCTCTCTTACGGCCGATTGACTGTTTTCAGTTAGATGACTCTCATCACATCATGTAGGATTTGGGGATGATCTGCCCGAAGAATACTGCATCAATAAAGCTCATTTGTATATAGCAGGATACCAGCTGAATTCAGGGTATCTGCGAACTAGTCTTTCGCTCTCAGCGGAGATAAGAAAAAGTCATGTGGAAGATGTGGCAGGAAAGGGAACGGGCGAGAAGCGCGGGATCCGGACCAAACAGTATTTCTTCCAAATTTGATTTCAGTTTTTGATTTATGTTTTTGATTTTAGTTTTGCTGTTAACTTCTACAATTTCAGTAGAAGTTCATGCGGTTGGAATGAGTTGGGCCTGTACGCAGTGATCCTTGCCGGCTCCACCGGTCCTTGACCCAATGTGGAAAAGATAGCGTTAGCTTAGGACCAAATGTAAAAACAAACAAACAATAAAGCTCATTTCTTGTTGGGAAATAAACATACTCACTACCACCACGGCAGTTCGAAACCCTAATCTGGAGTCGTAAAATCTACGCTGCCTTCTATAAGACAATTATCACCATGTGCCCCATAAAATTAAGATGAGATTAGATCTAGGGGTCACTAATAGTCATGAGCAACCCTTGCGCCGCCAAACACCATGTTGGTAACGTTAGCATATATCTCATTATTACCGCATATGTAATTCCATGTCTGATAGATTGAAAGTAGTGTAGTCGTCACATTGTCAGCCGAAACAGCTTGTGATTGCAACCTCGCAGCAGTCAAACGGACGAGATTTATGTGTATAACCAAGTATAGTTTAATTCAAGGACGCAATGTACAGCCAAGTGATACCAGCAAGAGGTGCGTATTACCGAGAGCGGTACAGATATGTCCATCATAAATCACCTCACTATGTGAAGGAGGAAGGGATCTCCAACCATGGTGATGCTGTTGATGATAATCAGTGTCTAAAGATAGTGGATTGGGTTATCGTACGTGGCTGCTGTGCGGCAGGGTACTCATTCTTATTGGCGATTAGAACATCGGCATTACTGAAGAAGTTTGCCCTCTATGTGAATATCCAACATGTCTTACGTGGCCAACCCCGCGCCTATCACTTTTTGGGAAGGTGATAAGAGCAGATTGGCTAATCACTTCATTTAGGTTTAGCTCGAGTCAAGGGTCATTAGCCATGACTATGCCGTCACCAACCCACTCGAAACATTGATATCAACAAAGCTATCCGCAAAGATTGAAGAAACCTTCAAAAGCTTCTCTCACCGATACTTAGCTCAAAGAGTTACAATTCTATCATGCCTTGTAGATCTTTGAGATGAAGCTCGTTAGCAGCATGTCATAGGGCTCTAGCTCTAGAAAGAATCTGTAATATGCTTTCTGTTACCAAATTGGTCTAAGATGTGCCAAATAGTAGACCTGTCACAAGTTACAAGTCCAAAAGCAGCTTCATACTTTTAATCATAATCATCCCTACTTTGTGAATAAAGTATCTGCGGGCCTTACTATCTCAACAATGATGGAATTCCTCCACGGACCGAAACGCTAACAAGGCTTGAACTAGTCATCCAAATGACGATGGTCATGCAGACGGACTTTGGGAGGCTAACCACATCACCTACCGGGAAAATCTCTGTTTAATTCTAGATTTTACATCAAAAAAATCAGCTCAACAGGATGCCCCCCAAAAGCTCAAGATTGTGTAGTGCGATACATCCGCGTAAACGACTCACGACGAACTCACCAAAAGCATAGATCTCTGAGGCTGACGGTATATCATGACATGTAAAGTGGTCGAGAGGTTTATACCACAAGTTAGAGTGCTAGCACTACAACAGCGAATAGTTTTGCTCCAGGGACTACCGGCCTGGTAATTGTTCTCATTGATGCGTTCCTATTGTCACAGTAGTAGATAGAGACAGCTTCTTAGAAATTTGTGTAAACTAGCTTAAGCTAAAAAATGAAAGAGGTAGACGTCCTGACAGAGATGTCTTACAATCATATAGTTTTAGAAGAGATGGAATGGAAAGTTGGTCGTTAAAATTTGTGTCGAATGATTCGCATCCTCCTTTTTCTTTCGAGCTTATGATGAACGGCGTAGAGCTAGATCAAAACACCTTGCGAGCAACACGACTGGACATCGCACACTCCGTTAATTGCCTTGCTTGGTTCCTCTGAAATCTATCGGCAAAACACATTCATCTATTCTGTTTAGTTCCACCTTGACTCTAGATTGCGATTTATCAGCTTTCCATAGTACCATCTATCATTAAGTGACAAGAGGCATAATTAATACAAAAGGTATCCATACAATTATGACAGTATTAAGCTGACCACCGCTTGGATTCCAATAACCTCTGTTCAGCCTGATAACTGGGACATCCTAGACTTTACTTGTCAGCTCAACCATGCCAACTCAGACTATCTATAGAAGTTACGGCAGACGGATGGAAATGCGAAATACTTTTCGGCATCAGAGTCAGGCACAAAAGACGCTGAAATCCATACCAGTTTCAATTCTGTACATCAAGACGCCAGCTCTACCTTGACCTGGAACCTCCTTGTCATATCCCGGGCTGTTATTATTATCGGGGATCTTAACCCAACCTCCATAGTACGACCAGCTTGGTCAATTTTCTCCATTTTCCTCAGTATACTTACCTCCCTACTTGGGAGGGCAAGACTGAACACCTGTACGCGGTGTCCTCTACGAACCTGGGAGTGAAATATTCTCCCAGAGCCAAGTTCAGTCAAACTTCGCAATACCGAACAAGTTGGCCCACGAGGCAATGATTCAAATTACTCCACCATATCAATCTTTCACTCCCAACGAAATCGATTCCTACCTAAACCTCATCAAGTTTACAAGTACGACCTAGTACATCCTAATCCCAATGACCACACCTCTTGTCGTCTTTCTCTGGCCTTAGCTGGTCGCCAGATACACGCCCACGCCGATATTTACACCCGACGGAGGAAGCAAAGTATGGCGCACAAATCTGGGAGATAGCACTTTGGGATGGACGTGAGAGGGGTCAGGACAAGTTAACAAGATGATGCAAAAGAGGGATACATTCTCGACGGGCGTGAAATTTTGAACTTTGGCGAGAGTTTTACGAATCGAGCTTTGTGCGCGCCAAGTCTTCGGTTACGAGAGTGCAGCTGACACTATAAACACAAGCAAACGATGGAAGGTGTTGTGGTCCGCCTCCTGGCGGTGTTCTCCGGTATAGCCTGAGTAGCCTGGGCACCTACTCCACTTGGGAAGGAGACATCTCAGATCATATTTCGCGCGGAGAAAAGTTGATGGATGACGGAGGCATGTCTGGATAACTCAGGGTTTTTGAGATGTTCCCCTGAGTGGGTATTCACGGATGAGGGTTGACTTGGGGTGAAGAAAAAGCCGCCATAACTTCGCAGTGGTACTTGCAAATGAAGTCCGAGGCATGAGTGCTCCTCTTGTAAATTGAGTCATTTTTTCTGTACTTTTCTTTGATATTGTGTCATAGCTAGATAGCTGCATACGCAATTAAAATCTGATGCAAAAAAAAAAAATACCTCCCTACTTGCATATAATATTTTCTGATCAAGGTCTATATCGTTCATTGATGAAATAATTGTGGAAGTATGCTTGAGGTCTAGCCCTCTCTTATATGATTATTTCGGGGAGATTGAGTTTGGGAAATTGTTATTATCAAAACGCGATTTCCCAACTAATTTGTGTCTGCCAATCGGCTTCTGATGGCGATTGTATTTTTTGGCCATGTGTACAATAGGGATGTCTTTACAGATTGATTCTTTGACCGAAATTTCGAGTTCAGCTTCTTGAAATCGACACTGTGCCAGGCCGAACTTAAATCATCCTTGCTCGTGACTGAGCCTTGGTTCCAAGAGGGTAAACAACTACGAGGTTTTTTTTGGCATCAGATTTTAATCGCGTATGCAGCTATCTAGCTATGACACAATATCAGAGAAGTGTATAATAGATGAATCAATTTA